GGGGCATCCCCTCCCCGCCGCCGCCGATTTCCACCATCGCACCCGCGGGGCTCGCCTTACCCCTCGCTGGGTTCCGCCCGGGGCCGGGCCCGGGCAGAGGGGACCTCGCCGTCCTCGTCACGCCTGCCCGGCGGCTCGGCTGGCTCCTGCCCCTCATCCCCAGAGGCAGCTGCACTGTAGAGCCTCGTTGCCGGGAGGCAGTCACCGTCCCCTCTGTTCATGAAGAGGCTCGGGCTCCTCAGAGACGAGCTGGGAGCTTAAAAGAAGCTTTTTAAGGCTAGATTGTGCGTTGGCTGCACGGATGTGGCATCTCGGGTAAAGAGGAGGGTATCTTTTGCTCTGGCATTTAGCCATCCTTCTACTGCCTGTCTCAAGGTCTATTGTATTTCCTATGTGAACAGGTTTCCATGATCCTGGGGTTGTGCCAGCCAGGTGGTCAACAGCCACTGCTTATAGACTTGGCAACCTCTTCTGCACCCTATTTTCCTCCTACGCACATGGGGAGCGAAGGTATTCTGATCCTCTAGTCCCGGGTGGGATATACGTTCAGTGCAGGTAGAACAAGACTGTTGTGCCTTTTTAGTAATATTTTTTGCAGTTGTTCTTCTGCTGTGTTTGACTTTTATCTGGCTATTTGCTATTTAGGTTAGTACCTTCCTCACTTTCTGTTATGTTCCACTTTAGGTGTATTTCTGTAAAAGGAAATTCACAGTTCCAGTCAAAGATGAAAAACATAGTAATACTAATAAAGGTTTTGTTCTCTTTAGGTACAAGCAGCTCCCCAACAAGTGGCTGAAGACAAATTTGTATTTGATTTACCGGACTATGAAAACATCAACCACGTAGTGGTCTTCATGCTGGGAACGATACCATTTCCAGAAGGAATGGGAGGATCTGTCTATTTTTGTTACCCGGACCAGAGTGGGATGGCAGTGTGGCAGCTGCTGGGGTTTGTCACTAATGAGAAGCCAAGTGCCATCTTCAAAATTTCTGGTCTGAAATCTGGTAAGACTGGTAAAGTGTGGCAGTCAGTGAAACGGATGTGTTCCTGCACGCATAAGGGGATAAATGTTTGAAGACGGTTTTGAACAAAAAGCTACTTGAAAAGGCAGACCTCTGTGTGTTTTCAGGTAGTCCCTAGCAGATGTGGTACTAGAAGCAGTCTGTCAGCTTTATGGAAGTCTGTCTGTACATTAATGTTCCTAGCAAAATTTCTCTCCTCTTGTATGTGGTGTTGATCTGGAAATTCCTTTGAGCAGGCTTGGCGTGTGTTCCAGTGCTTTTGCCCAGGGAACCTGAGGAAGAATGACCCTGTAACTTCCATAAGCATGGTTTTTGTCTCGACATGCTGCAGCGTTTTCTTTCAGCTTCCACTGTCAAGCAGTTGCATTCTTTGTAGCACAGAGACAGGTTTTGTAACGAGTGAAGTCTGATGCAGTGATTGCAGGCAGCTAGCCGCTTCCAGTTCAGGTGTGGTTGCACTATATAATTGTCCAGTAGAGGGTGTCGTCATTGGAAAGCAGCTTTCCAAATGTTTTAGTATTTTTCATACAGACCCCAGTCAGAGAAGTCTGACTCATATGGGAGCCAGAGAATGCTGGTGCTACCTGAAGTAGATGTGGGTGTGTTTTCCTAAATATATGGGGGTTTTGCCACACATGTTATAAAAATGATAAAGTGCCCCAATGGCACACCTTTGTCTTATTAAAGGGACAGACATGTCAGTCAAGCAGCTTAAAGTGTTCTGGTGATAAAGTAATACACACCTTTTCTAGGCTTCAGTGTAGTCTACAGCCTTAACTTGAATCTCTATTTAGGTAAACTTTGAGGTTGCTGTGATAAAATGTATTAATTCATAACATGGCATGTTTTCTTTTGAATGAGTCCTGGATGGCAGTGTGACACGAGATAAGGGCTCTCAAGGTGCAGAGCAAAATTAATTCTGATCATATATGTTCCTCAAAAATTTGGGCTTTCTTCAGAAGAGAGAACAGCCACAGGAAGGGTTTTGGGGGGACATGGTTTTGTGTATTCCCAAGTTGTGGTGTTAGTGAAACAGTGAAGTGTATTACTGGTTCTTTTGCCCGCTTTTGTCGCATGTTTCTCATGCTTGAAAGACTGTATTATATATGCTTTCAGACAGCTTTGTCGGAAAACACATTTTCAGATGCTTTTTGCATGATTAGCCATAATTTCCCAGAAAGGGCTGCTCTTGAGGAAGAACTCCGTGACGTGGTTGAACGCATTTGCAATGCCATGAGGCAGTGCTGTGCTTGATCTGAACAACAGAGAGCTCTGCCGTTCCCATTTGTTGTCTACAGCTTATCTCTGACTGTAGAGTCAGTATAAGCTACACAGCCTTAGTTTCCATGACCATGAACAATTGTATGATGGAGAAGACCATGGGGCTGTAGAAAGGAGAGGCCAGAGAGGGATTACGGAGCTGGAATCATTGAGAGATGTTACTGACTGTTGAAATGTTTAACAGCCTGTAGTCAAGGCAGGATAGAATATTTCTGGCTTTAACAAAGCTGAGTGGCTTCTCTAGTGCCAAGAGGAACAAAGTAGCAGTATACCTTTGTGAAAGAGGCTGAGTTGATCTCTTGAAACTGTACAATTTCTGCACTTGTGTAAAAAGCTGCAGCTGTAATCGGATGTAGTAAGATCCCTCGGTGCCTGTTGGAGCTGCACGAGTAGTGCTAACTGTATTCATTCATTAAGGCCACTGGCATTCCTAATGGAATCGCTGTGAGCTTTATCACTCAACGCAAGGAACTGCGGTCAGTTCTCATGGTGTGACTGAAGAGTTCGAGTTTTTTGCTTGGACTCCTGACGCCCTTGCAGCGCGTGACTGCTCTTGGGAGTAGTTCTGCTGGTTTTTGCCGCAGGTGGTGTGTTTCGGTTGCTTTGGAAAATGTTGCGGATAGAATGTTTTGCTGGCCTTCCTTTTCAAAGCAGGAAGTTATGCTGCAGGGAAGCAATTTGGGCCTAGAGAATCAAGCTTTAGAAGAATGCCATTGCTGGCAGTTGTCACTGTTACTGGCTTGTCTGTACTTTCAGGCCTGGAGAAGAATAATGGCTGGCAACACTTTAGTGCATGAAATTATACATTCTTCTCTGACTGTGCGTTGTTTTACTGATTGAGAGTAGATGAATTTCATGTGATTGTGCATTAAGAAGGGGCTTGGAATTGTAAGGGTTTTTATTTTTCAGTTGTGCCTGAAAGTGTGGTAGAAATAGAAAACAAACCTTGGGCTGGGATTTTACACCCTTACTAGAAGTATGTTGACAAGTGGGATAAAAGTTACAGGATAGCCTTTTCCATTACAAACTTTTTCTGCTGTGCAGCATGCGGTGATGTGTGTGATGCTGTTTTCCACTTACAAATATACCCTCTAATATGATGTCTGCATCTGAGGCCTGCACATGGATGTGGTTTGTGACATGGTTGGGCTGAAAGGTAATGAGGGCTTACTATCTTGAATCAAGGGTTCAATGAAGGGAAAGAAAGGGGTGGAAAAAATATTTTTCTGATTGCAGTTGCTCTGCTGTGACTTAGAATGTTGGAGAGCGTAGGGTCTGAATGCAAAAACCTGAGCTTGTGTTTCAGTACCAATCAACGTACTGTGTTCGCTGTGTTTGTAAGGTTTGGAATGTTAATTGCAAGAGCCAAGCATTGAAAATGTGGTGTAAGGATGGCAGGGGATGCTTTTCTCTCACCTTTTTAGGCAGACGTCTTTCCAAGAGAGTGGTTCCATGGGAGTGCGTGCAAAATGACAGAACGGATATATTTTATTATTTAGATCATGAGCATCTTTCTGAAGTAGTGATATATTCTGATGGAGCCTGTTGCTTGAGGGTATTATACTTTTATTGTAAATGTCAGCTTCTCAGGTGAAGATGTTACAAGATGTAAAACCTCTACCAGCTCTATTGCTATTGGGATTTTTAATAACGAACTTGTGTGATATTTGGTTTCTAACAGCTTTTTCTTTCTTAAAGGTAAAATTTATTAAGTTATTATCAAGCAAGCATCTGTCTACAGTAAAGGTTGAGATCATACAGCAATGGCGTTTCTCAAAAATGCTTCTAAATAGCACTTCAGGAGATTAACGCAAGGCCAGTAAGAAGAGAGTTCAAGTAACATTTTAATAGTGAGTGCTTTACTTGTAAATGTAGCACTATATTGGAGTTGTAGGGTCTGGAGTGTTTTACTGATTGAGAGTAGATGAATTTCATGTGATTGTGCATTAAGAAGGGGCTTGGAATTGTAAGGGTTTTTATTTTTCAGTTGTGCCTGAAAGTGTGGTAGAAATAGAAAACAGCCTATAGTCAAGGCAGGATAGAATATTTCTGACTTTAACAAAGCTGAGTGGCTTCCCCTTGGGCTGGGATTTTATACCCTTGCTGGAAGTATGGCTTCAGTTGAAAAGGGTACTGGGTTTTTGAATGTGCTTTCCATATGGGTTGGATGTTGGCTTCTTTGTGGTAATGCCTTGTGTCTGTGCAGACGAATGAGCAAGTTTCTGAGATCTTCAGTCTTTGAGCCTCAGTTCGACTTCTCAAACTTGTGCTGGTTTTGCTGGCTGAGTTTTTGACCATGGAACTAAGTCAGATGGTGCTTTAGATTTCAGTTAGCCCTTCTTGCAGCTCAAGATAGTGTTGACTGGTCTGTAGGACAGCTTTAGCTTTGCTTTCTCCTGCTGTAAGAGGTCAGAGAGCGCTACTGAAACACCACTTCTGTGTTAAGAGGGTACTTGCCTATTGTGTTCGCTCAAAAGATGGAGTATTAGTATTTGTTTACTAATAGCATTGTGGTCCCCCAGACCTTCTTCCTGTATTTTCCTTTACAGATGCTGACAAAGAGGAATGCATGATGTAAGTGACTCTAGATGCCTGTCATTGTTTGCAGAGGCCCCAGCTGAAGCTGGGACTGAAAGTACTGGTTAATACTCAGTTGAGAAAGGTCAGAAGTGATGGCAGGGGGCTGGGATGATGCCTGGATGAGTGGTATGCAGTTTGAGGGTGTTTTTCTGCCCGATTCATTGTTTCCTTTGTGGCTCCTGCAAAGTCAGAGGCCTTTCTGTTCTGTGGCTATTCCTTTGACCTTTGCTGCTGCTGGTGGTGGTTTTGAGCAGTTCAGGTGAGACCTGGGGCTGCCCAGCCCTCCACAGGGATAGCTTCGTGAAGTAATGTCCTCTGTTTTTCAGTGCACAAACAGGTTCACAAGCACCTGGTTTGGATGAGTGGATCAAACAACTGTGCAGCAGTGCTGCATGCTCCCTGTTTATCTGCAGTCATTACAATGTGAAGTAAAGGGTTGGTTCCTATAGAGAAAGGTTCTGCTGTGTTTTACTCACAGATCATATTTCCTGTTAAAGCTCCCTATGAAGTAAATGGATTCAAAATTACATTTTTCCTTTTCTTAGAAATTTCCTTAAGATCTGCTGTGTTTTTTAAATGTACCTATCGCACTGTTTCATCTGTTGTGCTTGTGTGTACTTGTGCCTGTGCTTGGACTTTGTGATTTTTCTGTATTTCTGAGGTAGGGAGATCTCTCTGGTGGGAGTTGAGGAATACCTTCTACAGAAGAAACACGGTGATTTAAGTAGCACAGTCTTTACATGTGTGCCAAATCTAACGTGTGCTGTTTGTGGTGCTTTCAGGGAAGGGAAGTCAACATCCCTTTGGTGCCATGAACCTCCCTCAGACGCCAACGGTGGCCCAGATTGGAATCTCAGTGGAACTGCTGGAGAACCTGGCCCAGCAGACTCCTGTTGCAAGTGCTGCTGTGTCATCAGTAGATTCGTTCACAGAGGTAGCTTGGACATTCTGTTTTCAGAAATTCTCTGTACTACGAAAGTCTTAAGAATTGAGCCTCTGAAGAACTAATTAAAAAAAAAAAAAGCTGCTATGGGTGGCTGTAGGATTGTAACCAACCTAATAGTTGTCAACTCATTTGGCTGGATGCTTTGATATTTTGAAATGACTTTTTCTTACACTGGAAAACTATGTCTCCTGTAAAGGATTGGATTTTACATGCTCAGTGGAATCAGGCCAATAGACTCACTTGTGTCGATGTAACTATACTGTAAAAACACTTATGATATTTCCTTATAGGAGCAGCTATGACTAAATGCATGTAAGAGACAGTGGATCTTTGGTTTGTAGGTGCTGGAACTCCAGTGCATAGACTTGCAGGGATGGTCAAAAATTACTCAAAAGTCAAGGCAGACATGGGCGTGGATGCAGATAAATATCCAAGTGAACCACTGCCCCAAGAAATCCTTCTGAGGTAGTTCTGCAGAACTACAGAATCATGCCCTCTCCCACAGAAAGATATGGGGGTTTATTTTTTTCCCCAGTTCTTTCCAGGTGGACCAGGCCTTGGGCTGCAACACTTGCCATTTTTTACCCAGCCTGACTCTAAGTTTGAACCTCTGGAAATCCTCAGCCAGTACTGGCAGTTAGTTGGCCATCTAACAGCAATTCAAGGCAAGCTAGATCTGCATGGCAGGTGTTGATCTCCCTAACACTGATGGCTCTGGCAGTATCTTCTACCACTTCAGAAGTTGGTGAGGCTTTTCTTGAGGCTTTTTTTTTCTTGCTCACTTTCCTTACAGACACTTGCTGAGGTAGATTGGTAATTGAACAGTAATCCTGATAATGAAGCTGATGTCCTTTGGCAGTTTATACACATAATAGCTCCAAATAGGTAAGGTCTCTTGGAGAAAGGTATCATGACTAGGAGTTGACTGGCAGCTTTTTGTATAGTATGGTTAATTGAGCTTTTCTGGAGTTCTTAGGGACAAATGACATCTAAATAATATTTCTGATTCCACCAATTTTTATAATAGCAGCAGTTAAGTCATGAGGTAATAATGTGCCACTTGAGGTCATTTGCAAGGTGGCTGGTGGATTTTTCTGGCAATAGTATTTAAAAAAAAAAAAACTCATGGTTGCATAACTCTTTTACAAATGTTATTTCCACTTAGGCGGATTTTTCTGTTAAAAGAGGGTAGCATCTGTCGTGGTTTAACCCCAGCCAGCAACTGAGCCCCACACAGCCGCTCGCTCACTCCCCCCTGGTGGGATGGGGGAGAGAATCAGAAGAGTAAAAGTGAGAAAACTCATGGGTTGAGATAAAGACAGTTT